GGTTTGCTCACTGAGTGAGCGTGGTGCTGACAACACCAAGTCAAGGGTTAGGATCCCCTTACCGGTCATCTTGTATATATAAAAAAAAAAAGGTAGAATATAACACAGCCATTAAATATAGTTCTGAAATATAGATTTGTGGCCTTTAATGTTTCCTGAATGAAGCAGGATAAATAATTACAGAGACGGAGGGATGTCTGTAATATAAATCCATAGAAAACCACCTGGAAGGAAACCTGCCGATAGAGTGAGCAGGTTCTCTCCTGGTGGTGGGATTATGAGTGATTGTTTTTCTTCTTATTTAATATCTCTAACCATCTATAGTAAGCATGTCAATTACATAATAGATGTAAAGCATTTAAAGCCCCAGTACCTCCCCCACCGCAGCCCTCCCACTCCCTTCTCTACGTTTAACAGTTTGTTGTAGATACTTCTAGATGTTTTCACTGACCCCACCATGTATTGCTATAAAAACTTACTAATACAATCGAAAAAATAATGGGGTGAGGGGAGAAAAAAATGACTCAAAATGAATCACAGCAAGACAGAAAATTAGAAGCTTAGACATATTTAACAAAGCAAAAAATGTTCTCTTTTTGCCGACGAGGAAGCCAGGCTCGGTCAGGAAGATTGGGTGGCCAGCCAAACCGCAACCGCAGAAGTCTGTGGTTTGTGCGGGGGCAGAGCTGGGCAACCCCCCCACCCCCGGCCCTGGGGAGCGCTGAGGAGGCAGGAGGCTGGAGGGGGGCCAGGAAATGCTGTGGGCTGGGGACTGGCAGGGCCAGGATCCTTCTGCAGGGAGACTCCTGGGTAGAAGGGTCCAAAGTTCTTGTTTACAGCTTTTGGGGAGTTAATGTGTAGTTAATCTAGGATATAAGCTTGGCCATGTGGTGGGACCCCAAGCACAGGCCTTCAGGAGCCTCTGGGAGCTGCCGCCAGGACCTGTCACCATGTCGGTGAGGATGTCAGCCCCTCCGCTGCCCACCTTTTGCCATTCATCTGTGTCTTTGCCTGGGTGGGGAAAAGCATTGCTGCCCCTCTCTGGGCCTCACTTTCCCCATCTGTACAGCAGGAAGTTGGACAGACAGTCTCCACCGTCCTTTTCATCAAGGTTCTCTGCTCTCTCTGCCACCCTCCTGCTGCGGGAGCCTGAGCCTTTGTCTTCCCCTGTCTTGCCTCAGTTTTCTCATCAGTAATAATAGTTGTAATAATAAGAACAATGCTCACATCCACCGAGCTTTATAAAGATGAAGAATCTGAGGCTTGGAGATGAAACTGCCCAAGGTCACAATCTGTAAATTGTAGGAGGTTGAGTGGATCTTCTTTGGGGCCCCTGATTCTTTGATTTCACCCCTGGTTCTGCCATAGCTTGCTCTGTGGCCTTGGATAAGTCACTGACCCTCTCTGAGCTTCAGTCCCTCCCGCATCCGTGGAATGAGATCACAGGCAGCATTTTCTGAGGATTAGATGGTGTATTCATTTCCTAGTGCTGCTGTAACAAATTACCACAAAATGGGTGGCTTAAAACAACACACATTTATTCTCTCACAGTTCTGGAGGCTAGAAGTCTGAAACCAAGTGGTTGGCAGAGCCACACTCTCTGAAGTCTCTAGGGGAGAGTGTTTTCTTGTCTCTTCCAGCTCCTGGTGGTTGCTGGAGGTCCTCGGCTCTCCTTGGCTTGCAGCTGCATCACGCCGGTCTCTGCCTCTGCATCACGTGGACTCGCCTCTGTGCATCTCTGTCCAAATTTCCCTCTTTTTATAAGGACATCAGCCATATTGGATTTAGGGCCCATCCTAAACCAATATGACCTTATCTTAACTTGATTACATCAGCAAAGACTATTTCAGGGGACTTTTTTTTTTTTTTTGTCTTTTTCCGTGTCCGGCAACGGATCGCAACCCTCAGTGTTGCCCCCGCACCGGACCGGGGCCCCGCAACGGGATTGCAACCCTTGGTGTTGCTCCCGCACCTCGCTCAGCCAGTGAGTGGGAACCGGTCTGTATGTGGGATCCGAACCCTCGGGCGGGAGCGCCGTTG